CATTTCAATCATTACTTCTTCATAATTCATGATATTATATATAAAACTACATACATAAATGTGGTAACAATGAAATTTTATTTTGTTACAGAAAAAATTTTCAAATTTTAGTTTGATGGATGATAAGGAAACCAAGCAATGTTGGAAAATTAATTGAGAAATTTGTATATAGACTACCGTGGATAGAATGAAAGTAAAAGATTGGTTTTAGTTTATAAAAGCATCAATTATATATATATATATATATACACACATAAAATATGTAAAAACTAATCAGACATCATATATAGATATTGTGAATGTTCTTTGTATATCAATAATTTTCTGTTAAAAAATTATAATTTTAATGATCTTATAAATAATTATATTCATAATTGACATTCAATTATAAATATGTGTATATGTATGTATATATACACACACACAATAGAAGATCTGCTTATTTCTCTTCGCAGTGTATTGATACTCTATATTCCAAAACAATGTCACTCAACTCACCTTTCTCAACCTTCCATGGCTTTGACTTTCACCAAGGTTTCAACTTGTGGCTGTCTCTCGGCCATGGCTATCGTGGAGCTGCTCGGTCTCGACCAGGGGAATCAGATCCATTGTTTCCAGACCCACCGACGCGTGGTCATGACATCTAGAGCAGGACCTGGCCTGGCCTCGGAGCCACGGTTCGATTGCATCCGTCTCAACCTCGTCTCTTCGCGTCATTTTCGGCGAGAGGTGTGAATATTCATTCGGCCTCGGGGATTGCAAAAGCCTTCACCCTCCGGATGGGCAGCGACGCTGACGCCTTTCTGAAGAACAGATTCATTATCGCATTTATTGTCGAGGGCCTCCATGCGCTTGAGTGGGGGCAGAAAGTCAGCCGTCTCCACATGATCACGGATAACAATAATCACCAGGAGCCGCGACATGTTGGACGAAGCACGACGTCAAAGCAGAGCCATCGAGAGAAACAGGCCCAAAGCCTGACCCGGCCAAAAGAAAGAACCAAAGGGGCACAGCTCTTTGCAGTTGGGCGGGTTTTGGCTTCATCTCACTCACGAGCCATGAAGGTTGCATGTATTTCCTCCAGCTCCTCAATGATGAACGATGGCAAATCTCACCCGCGAGTGCTGCTAACTGGTGTGACATACCATAAATGCAGGTGATGGACCCATAACATGTCGGTCAGATGAAGTTATCCCTGTAAAACATGTTCAAGCCGAGCCACACACCAGATCTGATGATTCTGATCACCGGTTTATTCGGATTCTTCCGCAGCCGGATGGATCAGCCTCCCTCGAAAAGGTGCATCGAGACTTTTGGATCTTGCCGAATCCTACCTTCCGGATAAGCAGGTGTTTTACAACAGAAGGCGACGTCATGCCTGCTCTGAGCCAAACTCTTCACGTTGAGGTGAAGAAATTGGTGTCATGTTTGGGCATATCTCCGATGCGTTTGTGCCTCGCCAAACTTGAATTGCACGAATTCCCCTTTCGCCGAGGACAAACTTTATGAACAAAGCCATAGATAAGACGAGGACGTACCCTCAGATGGCCGGTGGTGGTCGGTGGGTTCCACACACGTCTCCGAGGTTTACAAGTTCACTTATGTTTTACTTGGGCTCACAACGGAGCAGGAGAATTCCAGTCCGAAGACTTTCCTCGTACATACGAACATGGAGGTTCGAACAGCAGAGTTTAGGGTTTGTGCGACATTCTAAATCTTCCCCTATGGTCCACCAATAGGAAAGTCGTCGATGTAATCATCTGTCGAGTCTTCACATATCTACGCACTCGATGCTGAGTAGCAAGTCAATGTAATGGGATGCATGTTCTGCTCGGATTCAATATCGATGGACTGACCGGGAGATACTAAGCGGACCTCGTAGAAAGTAATAAGTAGGACCCGAGGGAACTGAACAGAAATCCAGCAGTTTGGAACAAAGTGAAGACAGCCGAATGAATGTCCGTATTCAAAGAAGGACTTCAAACATGCAAAGTGTCTCACTTTATTTTATCGTTTACATAACATTTCCTTCAAAGACATGAAAGACAGGAAAAGGATGACCGCAAACCCATGGACGAAAAGCTCTCAAGTGTGATAGTTTTCTTGCACGGTGAAGGTCGAATACAGCCAGCCGGACTCCTCATCCGATTGCTCGGAGAGCGTATGCTGCGGTGAATGATAGTGCGGTCCAGAAAGCATAAAAAATTTCACAGCTTCCAGAAGTGAAGTGCGAGCAGCAGTGCAGCGAGCCAGCCGGCCAGCCAGCCAGCGCCATAGGAGGAGAACGGGGTGAAGGAAGTGGTGAATGAATGAATGACTGAATGATTGCCTGAAAGTACAGCAAGGCAAAAGAGAACAAAGCGTGGATCATCAATGGTCATACAATAAACAAACGTATCGATCGTTCGACCTCTGGTCCTCCACCTTAAAATATTGATATTATCCCCCTTCCCATTCATTCCCGAGGCTCGTCGTCTGGATCAGATATGTAGCAAAAAATCGCTGCTCCATCGACCGGAAGTATCCACTAAGCACCCCGAAGGCCATGTCAGCGCCACTGATCTATCGTCCAATCCTCTGTCCCCAGCCAGAGCGCCAGAAGAGAGCCAGCGAGCCAGCCAGTCAGCCTGCATACATACATACAAACAGTTGTCATGCATACCTGGTGCCATAATTTGGCTCGATGCTTCGGAACGGGGTCAGGATGTACAAGTCGGAGAACCGTCCGGACTGGAGAAGGGACCGATGGATCGGTACAAAATGCTCTTTTATGCTACCTGATTAATTCAGACTTTGTGTAATTACAGTTTGATTTGTGATTAATCGCACTTTGTAAGATTATTCAAGGTTAGTCACGTTCACAAGTGACTGAATATTGCAAATGATTACTCTTGTAGCGTGGAAGTTTTCTTTGGTGAACATGAGATCAAGGACCTCAGTTACAGTTGACGAGAATTTGCAATCAGCAACGTTGCATTAATTTTTTTAGGGAGTATCAACCAGATCTGCAGTGATTGACGCTTAAAGACATAATTACACTTAGAGAAAGTGGACTGATTCTGCTTCAGAGTTCAGACTGCGGACTACAGCCACAAATCATCGAATGTTCGTTCTCGTGTACTCGCAGTACGTTTATTTGTATGAATGTCCTCTTCCCAGTATACCATCCGAGCGTGGGACTGTGCGGTTCAGTCTTGAGTTCATCTTCTGTGTCTATCAGATCACATCACTCTATATACAATGGAGCGTTTGTTGTAAATTAGTTCTGTATTGTTGGGTTAAGGGCGAATTATTAAATCAGTATGTTTATGAGGAAAGTGTATCTGCATCGGGATCCGTAATTTTCATGTCAGAAACATTCTTGAAATAATCAATAGAAATTATGTCCTGTTGGATATATCCAAGGATTGGATACAATATTTTGTTGATTTATCACCTGAGTGTCGAACCTGGACTCACATGTCAAGGCTTAAAGTTACAACTCACACAGTCAAAGGTGTTGACATTCACATGCCAATCATAACTTCAATATTGAGATGAGATGCAAACTCTGGTCTATGGCTCGGTCCTTAATGTAACCTGATATACCACTTCAACTCCTGGAAGTAAAGTAAAGTAGAATCTGAAGTTAGCCCTGCTAACGTAACGAGCACCAAGAAATATAGTAAAAAGGATAGGAAGAACTAGTAGTCAAGTGATTAAACCATACGGGTAAATTTAAACTAGCATCACTATAAGAGTATGACTACTAGACCTTAGATATCCAAACTATCTATTTCAAATTAACTATTGTTGTTTGTATAAATCTGAAACACATGCCCAAAATTAATTTTTATAGAACTTGACAAAAATATATAAACTTCAATTCCGGATTCTAGTGAAACCCATTCTATTCAGCGAACATACAGGGAGTAGTATTGAGTTGAGACAACATCGACAGTTGTTTTCGGCGTGGCTACTCCTCTGACTTCGTTAAATCGAAGCATTGTGTTTCTTATTGTAACCGTAATTTGAGAGTGCATGGCATTAAAATGTGAGTATTCATGGACGGACAATGTGATCTTGAATAATTGCTCTAGTCGGAAAGCTGGTAGAGGAGAGTCGTCTAACTATTGACAAGGTGTAGCTTGCAAGGCACTTCGGTTGTTGCAAGTGAGTGAGTATTCATGGCCGGCACTCGTGATGTGAATGATTGCGCTGGCCATGAGACTACATAAGAGTTTGCCCATGATCTATTTCCTGTAGCTAGATCTAAGTCTTAGCGGTTTCCACTTTTACACTTCGTGTACTTTGAGATATGTAGTTGTAACCGAGGGAATCAGTCAAGTGAGTACATTATTATTTACACTATTGAATTGATTCGAATCAGAAAATGAGTCGGTAGGTTGAGGAACTTATGAGCTTGAACTGTCCCTACAACGATGTATCCAGCTTTTCGAATACATAGGCACTTGCTTTTACAGGAATTGTAATGTGGTGTGGAGTCAGGGAGTAGTTTCTTAGTGTTATTTTCTTAGTAGTTTGTACTACGTAACAAGTATTACCACAAGAGTTTAAATTATGGTATTGTGTGCATAGTTATTTTTCTTTCTTTCGCTCATATTAGATATACCGAGGTTTTAGCGTGCAGATGGTGTTTTATTGTAAATATAATTTACAAAATTCTTTTATCTTTTCTGTCTTGAAAAGATAGTACTTTATTTTGCCTTTACTTTCACCGTCTGTTTACATAAATCATAGCTGTATTATCTTAATTAACCATAACATTTACTTGTTAGTTTTCTGTTCGTAGAGTTAAAACTATTTGTTGGCGTGTTTATAACTACAACGCAACCATTAAAGCCGCCATTTCGTATCATTCCTTCATAGAATTTGCTGATATATCAAAAAAGATAGAAGTTTTGACATTCATAAAGAAATGTGATATAATGTGTTCAATGATGGAGATCAGTGTAAAAGCATTCGATCCAGAATATGATCTATGATAGTAACACAAGCACGGTCCTTTACTTTCGAAAGCTTGGGTTCAATGGAAACAAAAACTTCTCCAATCTTACACATACATGATACAATTACTTTGTCCTTCAGAAAAGTAAGTCGTTATCAGATCTGCCTCTTTGTATATATTACATTCCGACAATAATACATGGAGCTCTTTGAACCTCCTGAAAAATTAGTCTCGCCTCCCACATGTACAACTATCTAAACGTTACCAAAAAGCTCCTCTGGTCTCTGACTACCTGTATCACCAGACACCACCTGCAATCAATTCATTTCTGTTAGAGATAGTTTATTCCACCTCACTTTTCCAAAGGCATTCTACCCGACCGACCTTGTAGTAAATAACAAATCCTACTTTGAATGCAGTAAAATTTCATTTTCACAATCGTCATTACAATAACCCTTTAAACCAATTACAGATCAATTCTATATTTTCCTTCCATTAATCTTCAACTACGACTTTCATTTTCTTCCAGACGACGGGTGACACATTTAGAGCATGTCGAAATCATTACCACTGCAGAATGATGACAAAGACATATTCTATGGTAAACTGCTGGTTCAGTAACATTCTTTAAATAGACTGTGCAAACAAATTGTAACACAAATATCATTTCAGTAAATTCTTACCTCAACAATTTTTTCGGACGCTTCGGGGGTTATTACTGCATCCACGCACAGTTCCGCGACCTACAAAGAAGACAAATCAGTTGAAATATGTTCATAGCTTATCTTTTCATTTACTCAGATAGTTTTCTCACTGTAAGCAGGCAAAAGATACCAAAAATCTTGTAAAGTTTCAATTTCCCGAATAATAATTATCTGAAAGTATGAAATTTTCCCATGCGTAATTTGCAGAGAAGTTTTACCTTTCTGCGGCTGATAGATCCACCAAATTGTGTATCGGCTGGTTTCATGATGACCTTTTCTCTCTGCAGTATACACATATAATTGAGTTGTGAGAACCATAAACATTATGATTTTCATAGAACTAGACAATCGGATGTATAGAAATTTGTTGAGAATAATCAGCCACACCGGGATTTGAACAAGCGACTGCGCACCACCAGTGGCTGACACTCATGATAAAATATATATTAGTAGTAGCTAATATGTGTTCACTACAGATACTACTCGTCGAGAAGGCCGAAGTACTTGCAATCGCAACTATCCACCACAGCTAGCTATATCCACTTCCCATCAATATACTACATTCTCTTTGTGCTTACCTTATCACCTCCGTTCTTCAGACCACCTGGCCTAATGATGGTGTAGTCCAAGCCAGAACGTTGCAAGTATAATTCAGCTTGCTTTTTCCTGTACCAGGATAAAAAATACTGGTTAGATTCTAGTGAGGAGAAAACAATGAAATAAAAATTACTCGAACAAGCCGAAGCAGATGGCAGCAAACAAGACTCACCAGAATATTAGAGGTACGATCTGAAGTAGCGATACGCCGATTGTGGTTATAAATACAAACTGCCATCAGAATTATAAAGCAGTTAGGATATCTTCGGTTGCTCCAAACAAATGTTTGCTTATCTAATAGCTCTTCACTCTTCCAGGAACTCTCTACCCAATTTTGCTGAATCGTAGATGTGGCGCGGAAAGTTGCTAATTTAGTAGACAGACTATAAGTTACCTTTTTCACTTTGCCTCCATTTTTAGCTGCTGCCACAAGATTTTTTACGCCCTCGAACTCGGCCTGGGCAAATATAGATGGGATTAGGACTCGATCAGAATCAGATATGCCAGAGAATATCATATTCAAATGGTAAATGGTAAATGGTAAATAGATCAAGCCCGTGGGACCCAAAGGGTCAAAAGGCTAAAAAAAACACAATACAAACAACCCAACTCCAAACTAGGAGAGAACCAAAAGAACCCCCTGTTCTTTGAATAAAATGATGTAGATGCAAATCATCATCCCGAATGTGCAACGTAAATGCCGACAATATATGCTCACCTGATAAGTACCGATTGGATCGAACGGAAACGATGTTGCTCCTATGGCACAGATGACAACATTACTGCCATAGATCAACCAAATAAGCGTTAGCGTCAACACCATCTTAATTGTGCTGAAGACAGAATTGACACCTGAAATGCTTCCATAATCACATTTACAACACAGTACGTTACTTTTGAAAAAGCCAAAAGCAAATCGTTTGATCTACAAAAGGTATCCACTAAATGTGAGCTGTAAACGAAATGATTTACCTGTCGGCGAGTGCCGCTTTTACAGTCTCATACTTGTACAAATCTACCTTCACAATCTGCAGATAACATCTTCAAAGGATCATCAATCTGGGTACATGTTTTTTTGGAACACACGATTTGTCTTTGCAGCATCAAACAGCTTTGGAAAAATTCGTTAACAGCGAGAAATAAGAATAAATAATCCACGAAGTCGAGGAATGCTCAGTGACAAGGTAGCAGGATATACTAGTTTGGCATGCGATATACCTCAACATTCATCATCCTCCCAATATCGCGTGCTTTCGCTGGATCACGCACCAACGCTCTTACGGGCACTCCTTTGCTAACAAGGTCTTCTACTATCAACCTGGTGAAACACTTGACCTGTTAGAGATCTCAAGTGACTACATGATCTAAATCGCTGAGGACCGTTAGAACCATTTAGGTGAAGACTATTCTTCTTAGTGAGCCTTCAACAAGAGTAGAACTGAGAGTTGATACAAGTAAACATCAGACAACTACCGAACCAAACTTCCAAAAGATTTCTATTATGAATATATTTGATATTGATGACCCATGTTTCATACAACATTGGAAGTTACTCTGGAGTAATCCAAAAGAGGTTACTTTGTTTCCGGGTGGATCATTCTAGCACGATGAGAACTAACTGAAATTCGAGAGCGTGAGAGGGAAAATCAGTAATGCAGATGATTGTTTACCTTCCTGTTCGGCCAGTGGCACCAGCTACTGTGACTTTCAATCCAGCATATGGACCCGAATCTTCTTTCGGTTGATCAACTTCACTTGGCTCATCCTTCTTCATTTCTTTCTTTTGACTGTCTGTCTTTGCTGGGACACCTTCCTTTTTGCTTTGAGGTTCAACGTTATCAGGCTTCTTCTGTGACGCTTGCTTCGGCTTGCTTTCATCGGAATTAGTTGATTCCGGCCCAGGTCCAGTCTCACGGGTGAGTCCTGCAGCCTCTCCAGCAGCATTGAAAACGACTTGACCAAGTCTCAAAGCCTCGCTTCCTATAACGCCAGCCGTTCTTGCAGAACCCACAAATTGATTGGCGATAGAATCCCCGACAACTTCCGCAGATTTGCCAGCCTCAGCAACTAATTTCTCCAGAGCTCCTTCAGTGCGCTCACCAGCTTCCTCAGCTTGACTTTTCAATCTGGAAAAGTTCTTCTCAGCTTCCTTTCGCCCTTCTTCTAATTGTTCTCCGAGAGCATCTGCTCCTTCTCGGGCAACACTCTGTCCCTGGGAAGCGACCTCCGAAAGTCCTTCTCCAATCGCATCCCCTGCTTCTCTAAGACTTTCACCGCTCTCTTGGGCAGTCCTCTCTACAGTGGCGGCAACATCTTCGACTGTATCTTGAGCTATGTCTGTGAGTTCTTCTACCACTGGTCCCACTTGCTCCAGCCCATCTTCTACATTCTCTCTGACAACGTCTCCTGCTTCTTGAAGGTTCCTTCCAGCCTCTTCAGCTGTGTTTTGGGCAGTATTTGACACATCTTCGGCAGTGTCCTGAGCAATGTCTGAAAGCTGCCCGGCAACAGAACCTGCTTGGTCAACGCCATCTTGTACATTTGAAACAACATCATTTGCAGTTCTGCTTGCCCGCTTCTGCAAATCTTCTTGCTCGCCCTCGGGGGTGAATTTGACGGTGAAAGTGTCGTCGTCATTGTTCACGATTTCTTCCTTTCCGGAGCTAGAGGTTCCACTCTCTGCTCCTGTCTCCTGATCCCACCTCTCATTTTCCACTTTCATATCCTGATTCAGATTACTATCTCTCGACCCAGGACTAGCTCCATTTACTTTTCCATTAGTAGGTTTCGCACTAGGAAAATCTCCCTCTCCGACAAGTTCCGGCAATGGACTGGGCTTTTCCAGCAAAATCAAAGTTTCATCCGTCACCGTCACTCCCTCTGCACTGTCCCTGGCTTCAGCAGAAGCAGATGAATCTTCTTCGTCCTCGTCAAAAAATTCTTCGCCATCCTCGCCAATATCGGGAAGAGAGCGCTCCAATTGTTCATCCGCCTCCTCTTCTTGCTGCAAATCATCTAGAAGCTCATCTTTGGTCGGGGTGACGCCTTTCACGTGCCCTGCCACCAATAATTCCAGCTCAGTTATAGTGTGGCGCATGGCCGAAGGTTAGCTCTAGATCACTGGACCTGCCAGGGTCCGCAAACACCGTAACAATCACATTGTCCAAATCTCGACATTGTCCTCTGTATCCCGAAATGCTTGCTCGCGGGATAGACTAGACATAGCAGGAATGCTACATTGATCTATGCGTAAAGACTGAAAAACGCAGGCTGCTGAACATGCTCTCTCCTCATACGCACTGATAATCTGACACCGAGCCAAAACCAGAAGGAGAGAAGGGGAGGGTAGAAGAGACATACTCGAGCGGCGCTTTTGAGTCCTGGCCACAATTTTCTGTTGATCTCGGCGGGTGCCGCCGGACGAAGCTCGGCGGACCGATCTTTGCTGCTCTCTAAACTCGTTCACGCGCTTCCAGACGGCCACGGAATTGGCCGAGCTGAAGCTGCGGCAGGCCAGAGAATCGCCAGGACACATCGGACTACCCGCTGAGGTGCTGGCCTGCAGCGACCGCAGGCACCTCAACCCCGATGAATGCAGCATTGAGACCTCCATCTCTCCGAGACGACTTCAAAACCGCGCAGCCGGTTCCAATTATCTACGCTCGCCTCACGACCTCGACAGACAAACCTCCACTGAACAATCTCAATAGTCCGATCTCCGGCTCGTCCCGACAAATTCTCGAATGAATAACGAGGCGGAATTCCGACTCTCCGTGCGCGACCTGTCAATCTTATAAAGGGGTGCGGAAAGTCCAGCCCCCAAGTGCCGCGCCAGCTGCTCGTGAGTCGGGCGGAAAGCTCTGGACTGTCGGGAGCGCGGCACGACGACGACAACGACAGGAGGCGAAAATTTCGGTCTCGTGGATAGTCGGGGGACGCTCCCTTGTGAGTTCCGATCACGGGGAAATTTGGAAGCAGCTGACAGCGGCACGTAGGCAGGCACTTGGCGGGCGTACGTGAGGCAGAGGAGGTGAGCCACAAGCGAGCCATCCTCGGCGTGCCACGTGCTCTTTTGTCCACGTCATCGACGGATCCAGTCCCTCGGGGCTGAGCCGACGGGGAGAGAATTCCATGGTGAGAACGCCCTCCATTTGTCCTGCCGCTAGAAGCAGCAGCAGCAGAAGATTGGGCTCCTGCTCGGCTCGCTAAATTTGAACGATTCTTGCTTGCCCCTCGTCGCATTGGTGGGCATCGCCACCTGCGTCGGAATCCAGAACTGCCGTCGACGAGTGTTTCGAGTGTCGCTGTGTCATGCCTCGACGAGCTGACTTTTCCACCCTCTCGGACGGGCTTCTGTGTTCGGCACGTGATCTCCAGCCGCTTATTAGTGCTCGGGAAGCTTGCGGCTCACATGAACTGGATGCTGAGTATCTGGATTCGACAAGTGCTGTCGCTGGCCCGAGCCCTGAGATCGTCCATCGAGGCCTTCTTGTGGGAGAGTGACAGCCTCGGCCGGAGCTGACTTGCACCGCCATGAGTTCAGGTGGTGAGCCCGATGCCTTGTCGAGTCAAACGGCCTGAGCACGTGGGTGCTACGGGCTTCTGTACCCATTCTTCAAGGTACTGAACGCCGTTGGACACGACCAGCAGCATTGCATGCTTGACAAATTGCCACCCGGCTTAGATCGTTTCTCTTCGAGAGTACGCAAGGTAGCGCACATTTGATGAATGATGCCCGTGGGTGGTGAATGGTTCTCTTCGGAGCTCGAGTGCGTCAGATGCAGTGGCCAGAGCGCTGACTCCTTCGTCAGTACTTCAGATTAGTCTACTCAGGATCAGGGTAGCCGTGCACCCGCGTTCGATTTGAGGACGGAGAATCGGGAAGAAGCTGGTTCCAGTTGGCTCCCTTCCCCGTCCTGAGACCTTGTAATGTCCATTCAGTCGGTTGTCTCCCGAACTGGGGGGACGTGCACGAGTCGGCTATGGACTTGTTCCCTAGGCAGAAACCAACGAAATGCTGCCAATTTGAACATACACATTCGGGTGCTTAGCACATATTATTGGTCCCAAAATTTCGTTGTTTTGACGCTAGTCATAATTTAGACTGTCGTGGAGATAGACTTGATTCTGTCCATCACTTATCCAAAAAATTTCACCCAAAAAAATAGACTATTCTCAATGTCGACAAACACCGGGCAGTCTTGAGACCTTACGTCGTAGTACCTTCATACATGCACAAATCATAGGGTGTCTTTAAACACTTTAACACTCGCAACATTGTCAAACATTCACGATCCACATAACTGCGGAATCTACAATCAGCGAGACATTGACACATCGCGGTGAAACAATTGGAACTACGTGTGATAGCTCAAATTTACAGAGATTAGGACCAATTTTCTACTTGATTATATTCTTGACCTGGAACTTACGTATCTACTTTGTATCAAAGCAAACCTCCGATTGCCATAGTCGAGAACAACTAGCAAGTTGGTTAACAGGTCGCCACATAGAACGCCTGCTGTGTATTCAGAAAAGTCTAGAGAGCCACAAGTCCCTTTGGCAGGAAAAAGAGCTTTTACTCTATTGAATGATTGTCCTGCAACTTCCAGTGAGTCTAATATACCATACTGAACCTGCAGTTAAGGGACACAACAATTTCTGGTTAGCAGCAGTATTTTCGAAAAACTATTGGAGCAGTGACGTACCAAAATCTGGACCAAGGTTACATGGAAAGATAGAGATACTTCATCACTGCTTTCTTCTACATCAATTTCGAGTCAAGAGCAAGATGTGCACGATCAGTAACTCCGGCAATTTCTAACGTCAGTCTATGCAGAGGATATGTAGGACAAAACTAGCAATTACACACAAAATTGGCAACAACAGTTGAGGCTCAAAATACTTGGCATCAAGAAAAAAGTATGGCAGTGTTGAAAAAAGGTTTCATCCGACCAGCTTTCCTGCGGTGGCAGTACCTGTAAACCCTTGCCAGAAGTGTTGATTCCTTTGACACTTGCTGTTCCAGCGAGTTCAAGTGTTTGATTCAGTCTAAATTTCTCTACTGCCCTTCCGTGGAAGATGATATCGACTCCTCCTGCCCCCGTGTCTAGCAAAAAGATAGCCTCGTTTTCCATGAAGTAGGCAGGTACGTGAGGCACATTCTCCAACATGTACATGCTCTGAACAAAACATGTAATTAGTTCCTCGAACAAACCTCCCAATTGAATGGATACTTTGTAAGACATGGTTTTGAAAATTCTGTAACTTGCGACCAAGATATGTTTCAACATCATTACGATCCTCAATCTTATGGTTGTAGCAAGATAGTGCCCCAATTTATCTGCGTGCTATCATGCTTACCTGCCACTGTGAAGCCCGGATTTTGGAAGCCTTATTGTATAAATATGTATCAAAAAATGATAGAGTGCCCATCTTATAAGACATCTACAACACCAAGTGAATGAGAAGAAAGTTAGGACAGGAACAGATGATTGAAGTTTGGAGACATCTCAACACTGCGAAACATGACAATCCTTATGCGAGTTAGGCAGAATAAGGTCTAAATTCAAAACTCACAACTGCTATAAATGGAATCGAAGACCAAGCTCACATACAGACCTCTACAGTACAGTGAAAAAATATGTCGTAGCCACAAATTCCAGCAACTGGAGAAATCCCTCTCACGACACCGGCCATTGGTACCTGCAAATAGGAATTTATGGTAATCTCAACCACCGACTTTCAAACAGGAGTGCAACTATGCAAATAGGAAAGATGGGAACATAGAAATGCAATAAAAAGTTTGCAAATTAAATCTCATGAAATCTTGTAAAAACATCTTAACGGATAATCTAGAATATACATAACACGCTTTACCTCCATGAATATGGGTTCTTCGATTGTCAGAGGACCGATCTGGAAGCTCTTCGCACGCCGAAATTGGCACTTGACCTGCATCAGGGTTCATTACTTATTAACATTGCTACCTGGAAATATGATCTAACATAGAGCAACATTCTTCACCTTCCATCGTTTGAACGATCTAGTCATGCATCCGCATACGACACATATCGCAAAGCGGAGGATGATTCTACGACATCTCACACATTCTTTACTTGAATCAACATTGGATGAAGAGTTGGCTCACAGGTGAATAGCATTAACTTTACCTCCCCTTCAACACCTGTCACATAGGCCTCACCAAAAGCGTACATATCAAGCTCCTCGGCCTAGAAGAGGGAAACGACTGGAGTCAAGGTTCAAACTTGGACATAATTCCAAAGAAACAAATGTAGCTTCAGCTCTTTGAACACGGACACGAGTTAAACCCTGTATTCAACTTATCAATCGATGCGAAGACTAAGCGCACCTTTTCAGAAGTAATTGTAAGACTGCTTGCTCCCGTGTCCACAATGAAGTATCTGTAGTTCAAGGCATGGAGTCATTGCTATTAATTTGAGACTAAACTTGAACAGAGCTCCAAAACACATGCACACCATCGACCCAATAATGAGCACGATTATGGTGGATAATACAGCGGTATTTCTAACAGGTGTACAACTTGGTTTCAACGATAAGGTTGGGATATATATCACTCTTAAAATCAAGAGGGCCGCCAGGAAATATCAATCTATACGCTTCACATTTATTGACTGAATCTGCACCAAGGTGAGTACAACGTCTACCCTATCAGAAAAGACATCGGAAGTTCAAGTAACAAACCCTATATCTTTGCCATCAATGAGAGGGCGCACGAGATAATGCCCACTTTCTGCATGATACATCTGCATGAAAGATAATCGAATGTACTTAGCCTTTCAAAAGTGAAAAACGCTGGAGTAGGAAAATGCAAGGTCCCTTATTTGGTATCCTCATAGCATTTCATTATCGCTACCTTTTGAGACGGACATTGTTCATAAAACAGACATTGAAAAACAGTATCCAAAAAATTCAGTTAAAACATGTTGAGATGGGTGTTTGTTTTGCGAATTCTGTCATGTCCATTCACTAACTTTCAGACCATAAGACCTTCATCAGAAAACGCTGGACATACCTTCACTGTAGGTGGCAGGTTGTTGTCAATGTGAGTTTTAGGATAGCTATGGGTACTTCGTGGAACAAGAGAAGAATCTGGAAATGCATATTTTTCACTGATTTCTGCGTCCGCCAGCTCCTCTCCTGGAATTTCCACTTTGATACTGGTAACAGAATACAAATCCCTCCCTCCAGCAGGAGGATTGTGGGTGATAGCCATAGGAAATTTACTGCTATAACCTGGCTGAACATTCCAACATAAAGAAGGATATAAGGATATAATAGGAGGAAATTACACACATGATGGCACTCAAAGCACAACTTTCGCATTTCTACATCATTCAATTGTATTTAACATTCACACATCGCAATTCAAGTAAATCTTAACGGGGCAATAGTTCTATTGTACTTCCACACATTTACACTGTTATCATCTCATCACAGATACCTGGATGAGTTGCCAATCTCGATACTCCCACTTGTCTTCACTTCCAAATGCTTTGATACTCAAGCGCGCTGGCAGCCAGTTGCTATTATCCACGACCAGATAGGCCATCACCTATAAGGGATGCCCAACTTTAGATTAACCCAAGCTCATTCAGTGCTTCATTCACGGTATGCATCGGCTCAAACCTGCAGCATTTTGCCCACGACACAGACAAATTCACTATCATAAACTACCAGATGATGGTACGACATTTACCTTTCCAGGTTTGGCTGCAAGTTAAATACTGCACACTACTTAGAAGTCAAAAAGGCATGGGAGATTTCGGACCTTAGTACAGTATAGGGGAGTCATTCTAATCAATCAGAAGGAAAGAGATATTTGAATCGCTACCTTGGAGTTCTTTAAGTGGAGGGCGAAGACGGTTTCTTTCGAGAATGGTCCACCCTTCTGCGGTTCTATGCTTATGCTCAGCTGTTTTCTCCCGTCCTCTGTGAGCCAGTAGCCTGTTCGGACCCACGATGCCATAAGACAAACCTTTCCCGCATAGAAGATAATTAATGTCAGCGAAATGGAATAAACTCCTCTTGTGTTCAGTTCACAGCAATTATTAAAGTTAAGAAATTCATTAACTAGTTACTGAAACTTGGAAGACTTCCACAGGGTCAAAAAAGCACACATAATATATCCTTGCAACCATGGATACCTTTTCTGATTATGACAATCCTCAGAAAGACCAAACAAGAAGAACAAGCATTCTTGGCAAAAATGGGACCAACCTCACGGTCGTCAAGATCTAAGATTGAAACTCGACCGGCTGCATCGGCAGACCAGGGACTTTGATTTCCATCGTAAGCCCATTCGAAATTCAGCTCAGGTCCGTCATAACGTTCATAAAACCGCCCATCCATACACCATATTAATGACCATTGTCCTTCCATATTCATTAAGAACTGTTTTCCTGCCGGCAAAAGTGGAAAGATTACTCTTCCAATCTCGTAAGGCACTCCTCAGTCACTCCAAAGTTAAGTGACTTTAAATGAATCTAAATACCTACAAAAAATTAGAGTCCGATGTAGCTTAAAATCTATTGCCTGAACCAATAGAAATAATGAGGTATTTTATAAAAATTGATCCCTCTTCATTCATGAACTTCCAAGTCTTGGGACAGTACAATGCACTCTACTGTTTTAACAAGGAAGTACTTTCGTACAATCAATTCATACAGGAAAAACGGAGGAACTTTCAAGGACATTTCAATCTCCAATTTAAGTCCATCTTAATTTTGAATTGAACAAGATAATTGGATCCTGATAGAGAAAGTCACAAATTCCTGAATAAGGATTTAAATTCATAATCGTGTGATAATTCCTGAATATGAGGTGATAAGGGAAGTCACGAACCTGACACGACGATGTGCTGGTTTAGGGAGTAGTCCTGCAAACCCATGGCATTGTATATATTCGAAAGGCACTGCTGCAACTGCTCTGTCTCCGAGAAGTCTAGTTGCAAAGACTGTACCTGGTTCCTGCATTGCACAGTTCTCCGACCCACGTTCCCTTCCGACCTCTGAACTCTCCTCCTCAAGGCTCTTTGGCTGAGCTGGCCAGGCCCATAGCTTCCTGTGCTCACCCTCACATTCGAGTGCAAAAACTTTCCACTACCATATCTACATCCAGAGAAGGATTCAAACCAAGGCCCAAATTGCCTGGAGCACGAGAAGCCCAGAACGGGCGAACTCACAATCCCCTGCATTGTGAATTTCAACAAGCTCACGCTCCGAAGATTCGACGCTCAATTGATGGCGCTGCCTCCAGAGCAGTTACTCCCACACATCAACCGGCCTGCAACGTCCAGGAGCTACCAGCTCGTTACAGTGAATCGGGATGTAATTTTACACATGGTCGGTGAAACTGAAGCTGCCAGCTTTCCACGTTCCGCGGCTCCCCCAGGGAAGGATACTACGACGAGGACAACTCTTGCGCTCGAGTACCGAACGGGCTCCCTTTGCCTCGTGAGCTATGAACCAATTGTGTGATATCCAAGCTGGGCTCCACGTGGAAGGCCCAGATTCGCCACTGCCTTCTTCGAGGCTAGTCAAAGGTCCATGTGCTTTTCGCTCCGGGGCCAACTCTGAGTCGTAGATCCCTTGTCCTATCTGCCCTCATTTGCCTCCTTGCACAGAGATAAGAGAACAAGGGCTGAGATGCCCTTCCCTCGTACATCAACTGGAGCTACCGTATCTATGGACTGTTGACGTTCACATCCCCGTACCAGAGTCCGAACTGTACTGTACGAGATTCCATGATCCTGACTCCTCCTTGGTTGCCAATTCCTACGATGCGCATAACCATAACGGCAATCGAGCGAAGTCTTGATTGACAAGATTATTTGGAAGTAGCACTGATTTACGAGGGAATCCGTTCCTTCTTGTCCTTGGTCACATTCTTCTCGTACGCTGTCAGCTGGCTTAACCCGTAGAATCACAGATGCACCTGCGCCTGCACTTTAGGGCCTTTGAGGCAAACGACCTCCGCCCACTACGGAGCTGGAGTCCAGGACTACGGCATATTTTATAATTCCAGCTCACCGAACTGCAAAGTCGTTGGGTTGTACCACAGTTTGTCCCTTTCCAGACAAAAATCGCGACAGACTGATTGACTCATCACGTGAATCAGCCTGTATCAGATAGCTCCACACCGACTCTCGCACACATAGTTTCAACGCCGGGTTTATCAACTACCTCACCGCCCGGTAGACGATATTAGCCAAGGGTACAGGTCCTCCTTTTTCCTTCGTTGCAAGGTGTCTGTCTGTTTTGTGGCCGCCATGCACGAGTTAAGGATCCGAACTTCGATTCAGGTTCCTCTGTTTTAGAAAGTGAATGCCGGTCGACCTACAGTACATAAATCCTTACTTTGATTGGATACCGAACGATGACGGGGCATCCTCTCTGTTAATCAAAGACGGCTTAATAGTTTGTGAAAATTTGCAACGGGATTCGTTATGATCCAGAGTTTGCTAGACTTCTGAGAACTTGAGAACCGTCTGTCATTGGATGCTTTGCATTAAGAGCTCTGCAGTCTGCCGTCGTTAGTTTCCCACACCAACTTGCGGTAGGCTCACGGTAACAACACCACGTGATTTCCAGCAATCCAGGGGTAAACCTACTTACAACTCTTCAAACAAACAACTTTACCACTCCACGGAATCCAAAAAAAATTCCCTACAGTTCACTTGATAACTGCCAAGGTATGTGATAAGGCAGAACGTTACAGGCTAAATTCTAAATTCATATGTATACACAACACAAAGCTTTCGTATTCACTCCTGTTGGCGACATAAAATGAGGCAAATGGATTGAACCTTCCGCCTCTCCTCTTCAGAGGCCAAGGCTGCCATGTTGCTCTCCAAAGTCAGTCATATTTCATACTTGTATACATACATGCTTACCCTGCACCCGTCAAATCACACATTTGCCATTTCTAGTGGACCCTGTTTGCAAAACAAAGATTGACGACGAAGATTGAAAACGAAGCCCGTAATTACTCCGTTATTTCATCATGCAGGAATGACAGCTCGCCAAAATTTTCATTCCAACTCTGCTCCACAGGACAGAATCTTAACGTTCTAGGCTGTGGCTCCACCACAAGCTTGAGCCTCATGCCTGAGGTGAATATATCTATGAATAGTCGGATTTGAAGATTGACCTTATGATCAATTATAAGGCCATACCCTTGAGTGGGAGCGCAAATGAGCAAATTCGTACGTTACGAAAACATTAAGATTGATGTTTCCTTGAGAGAAGTCAAGGTCAAAGAGATAGACATATAAAACGAAGGAAAGCACAAGGAGCTCATAAGTTCTTGCAATTTACTTCGTCAAAAGACTGTCACCTTGTCAAAAACAGATCATCATCTACATAACAACGCAGATTGACTGATAGTCTAAGGAGGTAACACGGGAAAACCCTCCACGCGACGTGGTAGTCACAGTCTGTACATTGGATAGGTCTTTAAACTCCAGTGATGAGACACCTTGGTCTACTTCTAGAGCCAGACATGCATATCACAAAAGGAAGCACTAAATTACGAGATGATAATTACATTACGAGGGGATACAAACAGGGAAAAAAGGAAAATCGTCTGGAGGACTTGCACTTCAAACGTGCCATAAGTTATAAAAAAACAAGAAGGTAACCCGGGGAGCTACCCTTTCATCTCTCGTCATCAGTGTTTAGCGGAAGTCTTTTCGAATCTAGTATACACTCACGGCTCCTCCACAACAGCCAACATAGGTACAACTCTTATGATGCGACAAAAGGAAGATACTAGAAGGCATGTGTCAGTAATCTTGTACTGCAGGGCAATAGTAGTAAGGTTCAGAACGCTGGAGCGGATTCTGAGATGGATGCAGAGGTGTCAATCGGCCACTAAATCCTTCGTGGTCGAGTACACTCTCCGCAAGAGGAGGAGGTGAAGTACAAGATAAAGGTCAAAACCCTGGAGGACGTCTCATCTGAAACTCTAAACTAGCAGGGAAGGACATAAGGGTTTTTTCTCAATTCGACAAAGTTCTGACTGTGATTTCATGAGAGAAGCTGCTAGTGAGGCTAGTCAGACTTCGTCTCTCCAAAATGCTTTACTTGCACGTCATAATGTGCATTACTTTCTCACTCACCTGGTCAAAGAGGGACAAAACTCAATGACCCGCAGTGAAGCCGTTCCTCATACCGCTAATTTTTCCTAATCCTTGATGCTTGATTCTGTTCACCACGCACCCGAAAGGTCAACCAACCGAACGCAGCTTATCCGCACTGCTCTACCTTCCCCCATCAAACCTCCTCGGTATTCTCTTCCTCAAGAAACTAGGTACGTCCGGAGTTTGCTGTTGCCTTGTGCGGCCCCATGATGCAATCTCTTCATCTGGTGTTCTGTTTCTACCTTTCAGCTGACTCTTAACGGAGGACAACGTCGGCTTGTTGTCGAAACCTGTAGCAATGATCGTCATCCTCAAAATGCCTTGAAAACTTTCGTCAATAACTGCTCCGAAGATCACATTCGCATCGGGATCTGCCATGCTGTACACCATCTCTGCTGCGACATTCACTTCGTGCAAAGTGAGATCCGTTCCTCCAGTGACATTATAGACAATTCCGGTGGGTTTTGTAACACAGTGCAGAAGAGGAGACATAATAGCTGACCTTGTTACATCAACAGCTCTATTCTTTCCATATCCAACTCCGATTCCCAGCATTGCACTACCAGCATTAGACATTATTGCTCGAACATCGGCAAAGTCTACATTCACTAAGCCTGGAACTGTGATAATGTCAGATATTCCTTGTACTCCTTGACGAAGAACATCATCTGCTAAATGGAATGCATCCCATACAGATGTGTCAGCTGACACACTGTCCAGAAGGCGATCATTAGGAACGACGACCACCGTATCGGCTGCCTGTTTCATGGCCACAAGGCCCTCTCGGGCCTGCTTGGCGCGTCGCAAACCCTCGAACCCAAATGGTTCTGTGACTATCCCGATGGTCAGAGCACCCATTGCCTTTGCTAGTCGTGCAACTACGGGTCCTGAATATCTCCAAAAGAATACTGATCAGCTGTATGCATCATCAACAGAAAAAAAAGACTTCCGAACAGAAATGTAGTCAATGCATACTAACACGACAAGACTTCGAGTATAAGAGAAAGGCTGTCTTGAGCGAGCATGAAGGAATGAGTCACCGAAGAACTCAGTCAACGGCCACTGCAAAACAATAGCATGCAGCTCAAGGGGCTCCAGATGAAACGGACAAAAACACCACATATTCTAACATGCTCAAACTGATTTGGATCGTGCAAATCGGCAGAATAAGTACCTGCGCCAGACCCTGTGCCACCTCCCATTCCAACTGCAATGAAGACTAGATCACTGCCCTCCAAAGCCATCGAAAGCTCACCCAAGGACTCAGCCGCAGCTTCGTAGCCAACATCAGTTCTACCACCTGCACCTCGTCCTTTGGTAACCCCATTACCAATCTGCAATTTATTTGGAGCGAGGCATCTACTTAAAGCCTGAATATCAGTATTTACCCCCCAAAACTCGACATTTGGAAGCTTCGTCCGGACCATCTCGTTCACGGCGTTGCATCCTCCCCCTCCTACACCAATTACCTTAATTACTGCCCCACCGGCGAGTGCTCTTTTAGGGGCACTACCTTCTGGTTCCCTCTTCGGACCGTTTTGAACTCTACTGCTTTTGGTGGAAGAAGGCTCCACCGACTTTTGTTGGAGTGACTGAGTGTAAGTGTACGCTGGATGCCTTACTCCATAACTTCCAGCAGCCAGACCACTGTGAGCGCCACTTGCGGCTCTTGTAGGAACAGGCTTTTCCCGATGTGGGGGACTAATGCTGGACCTGCTTATTTCTAAATGCCCGAAGAAATTTGTAGGAGGTAGTCCCCGTCTGACAGAAAAGCAAATTCCATACAATCTCTCCGAGGAATCCTTCAAGTGCACTGGCCGTGGATTTTTTCGGAAATCGCTTCCGCTGGCTGGGAATCGAGTCCAAACCAGGTTGGAATCACCGACAACCAGCCCTTGCGAGGAGGAGAAAGGCGGCATTACCGCCGACGATCCAGGCCCCATAGCTTCTCGCTCATTTCAGCTCCCTGCTCCAGGCATAAAGGTTTCCCAGCAATTCTACGACATTATTCTTTCTGCTTTCTGCTTTCGGCTGTTTTACTCCCTGCACTTCTGCTTTCCTCCCGCAAGCCCCACATTCCCAATGACTAGCTTATTTCTCCATTAACTCTCCGACTGCCAAGCCGTGGCGAAGTTGTGCATGTTTCCCGTCACCACAGACAGACTCACACTTTTTCAACAGGTCGATTTCCGTGTCTGCGCGGTCGATGTCCGGCAATTTCGCTGCACCATTCAGAAGACATACATTCATTCTCGGCTCCCGCAGCTCTTCTCTGACGTCCCTTGACCTAAGTTGTTGCACGACCTCCGACTAACGCGCAAAGAGCTACCTACTATAAGACCAAAGAGGAAATCGCCAACAGGTACTGATCTCGGATGAAGGAGCTCGAGGGTGAAGGCAGCGCGTCCTGGGGCCTCCGAAGAGACAATTAGAGCGTCGAAGCGCGGAATTGGACAAGCGAATTCGACGAGTGCCGGAGGTTCTGCGCACGGAGAAAGCTTGCAGAGACGAGATGAAACTCGAAGAGAGCAGCGCATTCCTCCACCAAATCGGGAATTTCAAAATCCTACAGATTCCGACACAATCATCAGACCATTATCCATCGGAACAGACGAACGAATGATCGTCGAAACCCCATCGAGAATCCGGTCGAATCCAAATTCGCAGACGGGATTTGTGAGGAGTGGGCCATCCAGCCCTCCACTCCCGAGCTCTCATGCATCCGCGCCTCTTTGTGGTCCTCTGCTACGTGTCCCCTTTACGTTCCTCCTCCGGCCGTTTGGTACAAGAGAATGTTCTCCGCCCCTCGTCCTCCGTTTGCTCTTCCATCGCCGTTCGCTCGGCCCCTCGCCCCCGCTCTCCCTCCATATATGTTACTTCTGGCCCGCTTTTTCTCCCTCCGCCTCCATAAACGTTAGGGTAAACTTCTTGTGATGCCCCGCCACTCTCCTCCTTCTCCACTTCTGCGTCTCCCACATGTTCCGCGAATCGGGATGCAGTCGGTGAAGAAAACCTACAGCGAGATGCAAAAGTACATGCACATGCACGACAGCGCAATGCAGAGACAAGAGACGGACTTCGGTGGCCTGTTTGACCCTAATGCAAAATGACTCCGGTGTGAAAACAAAATTCTGACGAAATAAATGTGGTCGTTGTCATTCTTGTTTACGTAACATCCTCTAGATCTAGCGGGATCTAAGCGACCAATCATTCTTGTTTACATGACATCCTCTAAATCTAGCGGGATCCATGTGACCAATCATTTTTCTTCATGACACATGCTCTAAATCTAGCGGGATCTGTGTGGACCTAAGACACGTCAAATCAACCTAAGAATACTGTAAATTCGTACCTTTTTGTCGACGATAATAAAGTGTGTCCAGTTGACCTTTTTCCTCTTCGAGTTTATGTTTTTTGGAAGTGCTTGCCATTTCAAGTCGTCCGATTCATAATAAAGATAACCACGGTTTAGGGGGCGTATCGGCATATTAGTCCTCTTCTATCATGTGATGTCGTGTTCAGTGCATTGCATTACAGAGGTACATACAAAGGTAATCATGCTCGTTGTGGATGGTGTGGGATCCTCGATTGGTATAGTGTGCTATGACCCTTCTATGCTGATATCCACTCGACAAGCATCTGTCCATAGAGAGAGAGGATCATGGCCAGACATGTCAGGCATGTCAGACAACATGGACCATGATCCGTTCTCGCTACCTAAATAAAAAGGTTGATTAATCATTATCTCAGCAGAAGCCATGGCTTCCCCAGATGACTATGATATATAAGGTGCAGAGAGAGTAAAATCTTCTAAACCATATGGACAATCTTATACATTTGTCGAGTAACTTGCAAAAGTCAAAAGCGAATCAGATATTGGGATCAAAGTAAACGTAAATTGTATGGTGAAGGCCGTTGTCATAAGACGATGTGTCATCTTCAATATCAGTTGTCATGAGAATGCTAACGAAAATCAACATATTTGACTTGTCATCATGAATGCGAGGACACCATATCGACGAGGCTTAATTAAACATCATCTTGGAAGATAGAACCAGAAAAATGCACTCAATAATAAGACTACTATAAATAATATAGAATTCTTTCATATACATTTACTCGACTCTATAAGTACTTCTGTCGCATTCTTTCTCCTCAATATTTAGGATATCGAAATAAAAGATGATACAATTACGTACGGAACTGGTCACAAGGTTATTTAGACAAAAAAACTTGAAGACTTCTATGAAGATTTCATAGATAACTAAAGCAATTGAAACAGAAAGGATCTCGTGATTTCAAGAAGTTTGCATATTTTGTCTAAGAATGATAAATGGAGGATCGTGTAGTATGAGAGCTTTGCATATGATCATATGATATGTACTGTTTTATAAGCCATATAAACAACCGTCGTTCCTAAAACCCATTTTGGCCAAAATTCGGGTCTCTTAAAATTTCTATACTAATTATATTTTTGAATATTCTTTATTTCTTCCATTACATTTTTACTTAAAATGTAATTTCATCCTTATTTTAATGAAATATACTTATGGAGAATTTAAATTATAAATGCCTTGTAATGTTATTAAAATTTTCAATCAAGATGAGCTATTTATCAATGTACTATGAGACATATATCGTTAGATTAACGTTTTATATTTCTTTTCAACATGATTGGGATGTGATTCTGAATATATTAACATTCAATATAATTCCTCTAGTAATTTTCAGATATCCAAAATCGAAATTATAAACTGTTATATGTAATAAAAGTTGATTTCATATTACACACATCAACTTGGAAAAGAATTTAAAATCGAAGATATATATATATATATATATATATATATGTAACATCCATATATTTCATTTATTTAATTTCGTATCTCGTTATTTCTATATATGATTTACGTTTTTTTTCATCACACTATATTGCATATATAGCTATGTTAGTTGATAATTTGTGGAAATATGATAATTAACAAAATATGTTGGATCAAAATGAGAGTTCAAAAAATGAACATCTGAATAATAAAGATCTGAAAATTAACAGAATTTATCTGATTCAAATGAATAATACAACTTTTAATAATACATCAAATAAAAACTTAACCTCAAAAGATCTCAACGTATATGACTTTTTCATATTCCTCATATCGATTAGATGATGATCATGTACTTTTATATGATAAGATTAATTTAAATGTAGGAAAAAACCCCCCTTAATTAAGATAGTATAAAAATATACTTTTTTCAGTAGTTCTTTTATACTAAAAAAAATCAGATTATGTCGCTGGACAGTCCAAATTGTGAATTTCAAATTTTTTTTAAGGTTATCAAGATTGCACATGTTGAATGTGATATTAATGTAAATAAGAGTAGTGTTTATATATGTATGTATATATAGGTATATATCACTACGAATTTCACTTATTCTCCAATATCCTAAAGTGTTATACGGTAAGATGGTTTTGGAATGAAGATTGTGTTGAGGAATAAGTTCCATCGATGACATTCGACAATGCAATCATTAAGTAAATAAATAAATTATGTTTTCCACATATGCTGCACAATATTGCAATCATATGTGTATCTAACTGTAAACATTTCCTACTAAAATTTAGTATCAATTAAAATCCAGAGATTGATAGATCATATGAAAAATTAAATTATGATCTTATCACAGACGTCATAAAATTTTTAAATTTGTGAAGGTTTAAGGACTGCATATGATGTGTACAATAAATCTTCATGTAATATAAATAAATAAATAAATATGTAGTGCATATTTCGATAGTTCAGAAGCACAAAATTTTAATATTGAGTATGATGAATGACATAAGAGTTTCAAATATCTTCATGATGAAATAAGTATATTATGCTTTAAAAAACATGCATAAGAAAGTACAATATGTTAAAAGATATTTTTTACTGTTTGAAAAAATAGTGTGCAAAAAAAAATGAATAAACTGAATATTAAATAAAAATAAGTCAAAAATTACGTATCTTATTTAAAGGATTCTATAAATTATTAATTACGCTCAAAACCCTTAAAATTTTTGATCTAATTTTATTACTTATTATTTCAAAATATTAATTCATAGAACAAAAATCACATGAATAAAAAAAAAATTACATATGTTACAAAATTAATTGCTTTGCATATAATGTAAAAAATAAAAATGTGGCATTTTATCCAAACAAGGATTTTATTATTTTTGAAAAACTTTATGTCATGTAGAATACATTGCTATTAATTTGAACAATCAGCTTAATATTTAAATTTAAAAAAAAATTCCTCAAACTATTTATGTTTTCATTATACATAAACAAAAATCAAATTCATGAGGCATATGATTTACATTTTTTTAAAGAATATGCTTTACAATCATTCATATAGCACTAATTTTTTTTATTGCCATTATAAATATAAGTTTTGGTCTTGAATTCTTAAAAAAAATAAAAATTTCTGGATTTAAATAACATGTTTGAAATATTATTTATGCTTTCATTATAAAAAATTCAAAAATTTGAAATAGTTGCATAAATAAATTGATTTGGAAAATATATCACAACAGTAAGCAAATATGCAATAGCAATCAATTGATTGCATAACAAATTCATGAAGTAACTCAAAGACTTCTATGCTATTGATTATAGTTTCATTTAATCAAACGTGTTGTGACTTCTCGTAACTCTCAGAATAGTGAATCACATTACATTAGTGTCTTGACATTTCGTGTTTGTTGTTTAACTTATGTTTATTATCACTTGATTTGCGTGTCTTATTATTTATTTTTGATTAAATATTAACAATTTGTAGGTAATTATTGATGATTTTGATTTTTAATTTAAATATTAAAATTTAGATTCTTAAAATAAAGTACATTTTATAAGCTTGAAATTGCTTGTTGAATGGATCTTATCTTCTGAAATAAAATATTTCACATGTATAAATATATTAATAAATATTTGATAGAATCAGATTTGAATATCCTGTCATCTTTCCTCAAATATTTCATGTAATGAATGATCTGATCAATTACTCAAGCTGATTTCGAAAAAGACATGATAACAATTAAGATGCAATAGCGCTAAATTCAATCAAACACATGTCAAATGAAATTTTCAAGATTGATTAGTATCCTTATATATTACAACATTTGTTAGAGTCACAAAGTAAAATAATTAGATGCATCCAAATTTATGGTAAAAAAAGTTGGTATTTATTAAAAATCTAAAACTGAAATACATTGTATTTAAAATGAAACAATAATTCAATTAATGATAATAGTCATTGTAACTTTTTATCTTGAACCAAAGATCTTTTAACTATGACTTATAAATCAAATAAGCAAGTATTTAAAATCTATAACCAAAATTTTTACACATTTATTTCAATGAACGATTTATTTGCATGTGATATGATGATACAAAATTTCTTATATTATATTCCATATGTACACAAAATTACTTACTGGAGTAAAATGATTTTCACAAAATACAAGCATTAGTAAATAACAAATTCATTAATATATATATATATATATATATTAAATATATCAAATTTAATTGTTTCAAAAGAATACATTCAATACTAATTATCATAACCATAAAAATGAAATCTTTTTATTGTAACATTCTAATTTCAATATATATATATATATATATATATATATATGCACAATACATATTAATATGTACAAATTATTTTTTAATAAATAAAGTTAAATTATGGTAAAAAGTTGTTAGAATGATTCATGTATGAAAA